CCGCCGCGCGGCGCGGCGCCCGAGGGCCTGCAGGCGGTCCTGGAGCACGCGGGGCGCAGCGAGCCGCTGTTCCTGCTGTTCCGCAACGGGACGCTCAAGGCGCGGGTGGCGGGGGCGAACCTGCCGAAGCTGGCGGCGCTGGTGTACGAGCACACGCCCAACAACCCAGAGGTCGATGACGCCGAGGTGCGCGTGCTGTGGCCCCTTTTGGGGCACGCCAGCACCGGGTTTTGGGGGCGGGCGCATTGGGTGCTGCTGGTCTGGAGGCGTTGATTCTGCACGGCCGGCGGCAGGGTGGGCGGACCATGATGACCCACAGATGCCAGCTGCGGCTCTTGTTTGTGGATGACCGGCGTCTGGGTCTCGCCTGTCAATGGCGCCTGGCCGTCGTCCTAACATGATCGCTCGGCCCCTTTGAATTACTGTTCTGCAGGACAACCCGTTCCATGCGGCGGCCAGCGGCTCAAAGGACGGCGGTTCGGGGAAGGATAAGAGCAAGGGCAAGAAGGGGAAGTAGCTGGCATACAGGGCAGCTGCCGGTCTGCCGCTGGCCGGATTTGAACTGCCTCCCTGGATGGTGCGGGGCGCTCGGTACTGCCAATGTCTGTAAAGGGCATGGCGATTACAGGACTGGTGGCAAACGCCTGCAAGTGCCGGGCGGCATCAACTCATCTATGTGCAGCGCCGCGTTTTCATGACGGAAGCGTGGGCAGGGAACACGTGACATGGGGCTGTTGGTGCGGGGTGGTAATGGAAACTCCGCTGCACTGCTACATTCAGAAAGCACAACAAAGATCGGTGTTGGGGCCCTCAAATTGTCGGCCCTGAGCAAATAGATCCCCACATGGCACGACGGTTGCATCGGCCGCCCCGAGTGGCCCGCCCCTTGCAGCCCAACATTAGCGCCCGCCCAGGGGGATGCGGCGCCCCTTCGTATGCTGATTCCAATACGACTGTAAGGGGGAGCATGCCCCGGAGCGGTTGCGCCACGGGCAGCCCATCAGGTGGTGTGGCGGGTTGCAGGCACAGTTCTGATCAAGTGATGTCATGCAGCGGCAGTGCCGCTGCGCAGGACGCTATTGGGAGTCGGCCCTGCTGGCTGCACACTCCATCGGACCCAAAGGCTTGCTTTGGCACAGCACTCCAAAAACGTGGGCGCGTGACACTTCATGTGCCATGTGGATGCGCCCGTGTATGTACAGCACACAAACTTGAGGTTAGGCGCACGAGAAGGTGGAATGAAATGACATGAAGTATGAAATATCCGCTCTCACCCTACGGCATGGTGTACGGCGGGCGCCCCGGGACCCCTTTTTTGAAGGCGCAAGTGGGCGCGGCAGCGGCCGCAGCTGGCGCCGCTGCCGCTGCCCGTCGTGCCGCCGCTACCACCTTGCCGATCACCCCGGTTGCAACATCAGATTCTAGGTCACAGGATCCCATAACTCCTGCCCGTTGCCCGCTCGACAGGCAGCGGGTTCCCGCCGTTCGCCACCGGCCCGCGTTTGCCACCCATCAGCCCAGGCGGAAGGTGCTGCCGTAGTGCGCGCGCCCCTTGTTGGCGCAGTAGCCGTCGAGGGCGGTGTTGAAGACCGCGCGCGACGCCTCCGGTGTGGGCTTGGACTGGGTCGGCCCCGCGTTGCGGGCCGTGTTCAGCTGAGGGGGAGGGGGATGAAAAGACGCGGCTTCGTGACTAAAGTACAACGCTGCTGCAGCTGCAGGTCGTCATCATCTCTGCTGCGTGCTTGTGATATTGCTCAACCATCCTGCCACCACCGGCACCTGCTGTGCCCCCTTAACCTCCTTAGAGTTCATTTCCATCGCACCTTTGCGGGGCTGGGGTCGCTGCTGGGGTCGGAGTAGCGGTGGCGGATGATGCTGTCCGCGGTCACGGGGCGGCTGGGCAGCTGCCACGACCGCGTGCTGCTGCGCGGGCTGTCCCACCAGTCCAGGCTGGTCGCCTCATCCGCTGCGCAAGTGTGGCAGTGGATCGAGAGGGTCGCGCGTGAGGGTCATTCGTCGCCGCCTCAGAATGTGCGCCGCGGCGGGCCGTCCGCCCCTTCACCCCACGTGCTGCGGCCTCAGTTGGCCCCTGATGCTCGCGGTTCGCCCCTGCACCGCTGCAACACACACTCTGCCCTGGGTCTCACAGCCCCCGCGCTCACAGTCCGCGTGCACGCGGCGCTTGGTGTGGACGACGCCGTCCAGCGGCGCCTGGGCGCCGCGACGCCGCACCATCCGCTTCTCCGGCTCCTGAGGACGTTTCAAGGGGCAGGGGCGCGAGGGCGGTGCGCGCTTGTCATTGAGGAGCAGGGTCGATTTCACTATGCTGTCAAGAAGCCATGATCTACTCTTTGTTCGCGCATGCTCCGCCGCAGACGGCCAGCCCGCCGCGGCCTCCAGAGCGCTCGTCACGGTGTCGCGCACGGCACCCCAACTGGCCGCTGCTGCCGTGATCGCGGCGAGAGCGCGCGCGCGCGCGCGGTCTTGCGGTCGCACCTCCTGCACAACGACCGCTGCGGCGCCCTTCATGCTGGACGCAAACGCGCTGGCAAAGTAGCGCACCGACGGCCGGAACGCCAGGTCAGCGGCCGTGATGGGGCGGCGCGCGTTGAGCACGTCCGTGTCCGCGTGGTGGCACCACACGCCGGGCACCATGCGGATGCCGCCCGCGTTGAAGTCCGCTTCCTTGTTGTCCGGGGGCGGCATGCCCTTGCCCTTGAGCGGCGTCGCGCGGCCGTGCAGGCCCGAGCCGCAGATGAGGCCGGCGCCGTCCTTGGCCGGGCCGGGCGCGGACAGGCGCAGGCGGCGCGTGTACATGTGCAGGTACTCTATGTAACGGTTGCTGGGCCTCCGCTGCGTGTCGGGGGCCGACATGTCTGGGGATGGGATCGCGCACGGTGGTGGTGGTGGTGGTGGTGGTGGTGGTGGTGGTGGTGATCGGGAGGGACGTTCGTCGGGAGTTAGGGTGGCAGCGGCCCGGCGGCCGTCCATCGGCCCCAGTGGGGGCTCCTGTGAACAGCACGATTGTGGCCCTGCACGCAGACAGCGGCCATCCCAGCTGCTCGTATTGATCCAAACTCCCAACGTGGGCCAAGACGATTTACCGTAAGTGGGGGTGGGCATTTTGGAGCCCGGGTCAGCCCTGGTCGCCGGTGTCCTTCCAATCCACGGATCTGAGGGCGTGAGTGATAGTGAATGCAGTCGAGAAGACTGCTTGATCAGCGAAAATCAGAACGGTCCCCATGCTGCACTCCCTGTGCATCTGCTGCACCTCTGACACCAGCTGCTGGTCTACTGGCGTTGCACACGGGCTCCAACGAAGGCCCCGTCTGGTGAACAACGTGTCAAAATCTCTTTCATAAACGATTTTACGCCCCACCTGGACAGAGGGGCCGCTCAGCCGTCGACAAGGGATGAGCAGTTTTTCACTTGAGGGATCCTTCAACACTAAACACAACGACTTATGTACAAGTCCTATACAGAGGTCCTAGAATGTTTTGGAAGGCCCCAGGGGGGCCATATGAAACCAATTCAGCTTGTGCCTCTTCGTTGCCGTGCTTTGCGGGATTCGTGAGATGTATGTTGAGCCTGAATGCACAAAAACTATATTGATCACCATTCAAGCGATGGAGCTCCCCTATTCCTCGATTACGGCTTGCTGACCGCCGGGCTGGGGCACCAGCGGGCCAGCAGGATAGCAAAACGCTTAGCAGGACGATCCCTGGTGCTTATACACCTCGTCGAAGGAGTGTAGACGCCCCTTTCACGTGGTGCAGGCTGCACGTTTGTGCCGTGCCCTTGGAGTGGGGCAATGACGCCTCTAAAGTTCCAAGGGATTCAGCCATATCTTCCTGAGAATAAGCTCGATGACTGGGGGCTGACTGTGGAGCAGCAGGTGCGGGTCGGTTGTCGGTGCGCCCGTGCGCTGCAAAGCGTCCAGATGCAGCATGCGCGCGATAGCGCGCTGCCTGGGCATCAGGCCCGTTCTGCAACCGCCTGCACAGACCACTTTCTCTTGACCGTGTCGCCCATGCGGACGTGCACATGCGAGCGGGGGCGCTGCGGTGCGATGCTTGGCAGTTGGGTGCCAGGGAGGTTGCAACGCGCCCATGCACGCCCCGATGGCGCGTGCGGCCCTCATCCTGGCTCCTCGCGCTGGCGGTCCTGGTGTCTTGTGCAGGAGGCGAACGTGGAGCAGTTCCGTCAGCTTCTGGAGTCCAGGGGCCTGTGGCGCAAGCAGGACCATGGTGCGGGGCTCGGCGCCGCTGCGGGGCCCGCTCGTGCGCTAGAAAGTGCTGCGCGCCCTGTCTTCGTGGCAGTGCGTGGCAGCGCATCGTCGCACACCATGGCGGCAGTCCTTGCGGGGAAAGTCGTGGATGGGCGGACTGCACGAGAAGCGTGGCAGGGCAGCAGGGCACCTGCGCAGTGTGCGACGCGACGGGGGCAGGGGTGCGGGCGTGGTGCTGGTCGGGTGGCAGGCTGACAGGCGCACCACCTGTCAAAGATGGCAGCCGCCGCAGAAGTCCCGAGCCCGGCCTGGCAAGTGCGCGGCAGCAGCAGCAAGCACGGCCACAGCAGTGACCCGTGCGCCCCCACGGGTCGCAACCTTGCAGTGCGGCGTGGTGCTGCGTGTCCCACGGCCTGCTCCCCCCCCCCCCCCCACCCCCCCTCCCCCC